CTGCCCAACCCCTCCCGCCTCCCATCCCCCCCAGCCTGGAACACTCAGAACCTTCTTTGAGTCAGGCGTTTGGTAGCTCTGCCACGACCCACAGGCTGTGGGGTCTCTCACTCTCCACCTTTCCATCTAGATGGAGGTGTGACTGTGACGTCACGGCTAACTTGACACCAGCACAGCTTGCTGTGATAGGACAGCTGAGTGGGGTTTGTTGGGAAGTTGAGTCCTCTGAAGGTCAGGAAGCCCTCTGGGCACACTCACATTGTCCTGACCAGGAGCCCCTCAGAGGCCAGCAAGCCAGAGCAGCTGTCTGCGCCAGGGCTGCTGTGCCCCTGGGGGAGCGCTGCCCTTCTCTCCTGTACGAGGCACCCGAGCCTTATTGTTCTGTTTGAATCAGTCTCTGGAGAACAGCAGCCTTTTCTTTGGGTTTTGCCTTCTGAGGTTCAGACATATTTTCCATGATCATCAATTTCCTCTGGATATTTTATAACAAAGGATTTCAGAATTAAATCTTTGAGGTATTTTGATGACCAAAGTCTGTCTTAGTAAATTAGAGGAAACAGGCCAAACTTACCATTGATCAACTGAGTGAAGATTTCCCACTGGAGCGGGCCTGACCCCAACGTTCAGGGAGCCCGTTCTCGTGGGGGGCGCAGACCAGGCAGCTGAGGTCAGTGTGGAGATGGCCCCGTCACTGCCTCGGAGTTAGTGGTGTATGTTGAGAGGTCCCTGGTGGCGCATATGGTTGGTGTTCGACTGCTAACAGAAAGGTTGGCAGTTCAAACCCACCCAGCTACACCATGGAAGAAAGGCCTGGTGGTCTGCTTCCACAAAGATTACAGCCAAGAAAACCCTACAGAGCAGTTCTACTCTGTCACATGGGGTCGCCATGAGTAGGAATGGCCTTGATGGTAATGGGTTTGATTTGTCTTTTTTGTGGTTGAGTTGAGAGGTTGAAATGCCAGCACCCTCAGATAAAGAGCCTCAAGTATCTCCACCCGGTTTACTTGGTGGTGGTTGTCAGCTGTGGACTGCTGCAGCAGCCAAGGAGAACCAGAGGGAGATTGAACTGTGCTGTGTCCTGGTTGAAGGGGTGTTCTGGCTCAGAGGAAGCCCTCGAGTTGTGCTGACTGTTCCCTGGGGTCAGTGCCTCCAGGACTGTGCTGACTTCCCTGGAGACAGTGCCTCCAGGAGGCCCATGTGTGTCACTGCCCCCCAGCCCCCCGACCCCCGGCGGCCAACCCTCAGTCCAGCAGGGGCATGTACTCTGACTGCGTGTGCCCAAGTGCAGATGTTCTTTAATTATTACTCTGTGAAGTCGTCCTGTGTCTCAGGCCTTCCCTTATACTGCCATCTTGTGGAGAGCGCAAGTACTGGATGAACATCCTAGACACTGCTGGAGGGAGAAACCGAAACTCATTTTGGTGGAGTTGACTCCTACTCCTGGTGACTCCATGTGTCTTAGAGTAGAACAGTGCTCCGGAGGGCTTTCAACGGCCGTAATCTTGTGGAAACAGATCGCCAGGCCTTCTTCCAAGTGCCACTGAGTGGACTTGAACTGCCAGTCTTCCAGTTAGCAGCCAAGCATGTAACTATTTGTGCCACCCAGAGACCTTTTCTGCCTGCTAGAGCCCTTCAGTGCCTTTGTGCTCGGCTGACCACAGGACGCCTAGAGTCAAGGCTCTCCCTTAGGCCCTGCTCTTGGGGGAGGGCACTTGCTGACACGCAAACCCCTTAGTCACGACAGGTTCACCCTGCCTGGTGCCACCCCTGCCGGTCCTGCTCCCAGGAGCAGGGTGGACAATGGACCAGACTCTGCCATGCAGCTGGACCCAGCCCCACCTTCCCTGCTAGCTCAGGGGCCCCAATCCCCCTGCAAGCTCGCAGCCCAGACCCCTTCCTGCACCACCATCCCCCGTCCCCCCTCAAGCCCAGGGCCCAGGCAGCCACGGCCTATGACCAGAATCAGCGCCACAGTGCAGCATGTCTGCCGCCTCTGGTCATGGTGTCCAGAGGGCTTCTGCAAGGGGTAATGGGTGTGGAATCAGAAGGTGCACAGATTTCCCTTTCCCTTCTTCCCGTGGGTCCTGACCCCACTCCTGCCTAGCACCTCTCTCAGGAGCGCAGATTCACAAGGCGTCTTCTCTCTCCCCAGTGTTCCCAACTCCTGCCCGGCCAGCCCACGCGGCGCGGGGTCCTCCGGCTACCGCTTCGTCCAGAACGTGACCTCGGACCTGCAGCTGGCCGCGGAGTTTGCTGCCAAGGCCGCATCAGAGCAGCAGGCAGACGCGTCTGGAGGGGACAGCCCAAAGGTCAGAGGGCGCGCCGGGCACCTATACGCAGGCACCCACACGCAGGCACCACTGTTTTCCTCCTGGTGCTGCCATACCGAAACGCCACAAGGGGGCAGGCGTTTGTTCTCTCACAGTTCAGGAAGCTGGGAGTCAGGATTAAGAGCATGGCTCTAGGAGGAGGGCCTCCCTTGTCCATTTCAGCTTCTAGTGGCTTCCAGCAACTCCTGGCATTTGGGGCTGATAGACAGGTCCTCAGCGTGCGCTGTCTTCCCCTGTGTGTATCTGTGTCTCTCCTCTGTTTACAACTCGGAGGTGGTCAGGTTGAGGACCCACACTACTCTGTTTATGCCCTCATTAACAACAAAAGGAACCCCCATTTCCAAGCAGGGTCATGTTTACAGGTAAGGGGTTAGGATTTTGGGGGACACACTTACCAATCCATAACAACCACAGACATTCCGTCCTTTCCATGCCCAAGTAATACACGTTGATATTTGCTGATGACTTGTCATCGGCACCCGAGTTGATACCCTCCCCCCACCCTGTGTCCTTATTCCATCTGCTGTGGACAGAACTGCCTCTGAGAGGTTTAATCACAGCCTTTGAGAGGGGCAGCAGGTTTCTTCCATATGACTTTGTATCTTAGCTCATTCCCATCTGATAACAGAGGTTTTTAATCAATTGGAGGAGATGAGACATCTCAGAATTAAAATTGTGATGAAGATCTAATTTTTCCTTCCTATGAGACAGGCATGGCTCTACCCAGTTTGGCGCAAGCCCACCGATGAAGTAGAGGGAGTCGTTGGGATTGCTGTAACCCAGACTCACACATCCTTATGGGAAGACTTGACATCATGAGTCGATGGGACTGTGCAACGTTTTCCAGCTAACACTGTGTTTGTCCTCTGTTTTCCACAGGATGAGTCGAAGCCCGCCTTACTAATATGCGCAGCTTGTACAGGCCTATGGGACGTTTTCCGGCTAACACTGTGTTTGTCCTCTGTTTTCCACAGGATGAATCAAAGCCCCCCTACTCGTATGCACAGCTCATTGTGCAGGCCATCTCCTCGGCCCAGGACAGACAGCTGACACTAAGTGGGATCTATGCCCACATCACCAAGCATTATCCCTACTACCGGACTGCTGACAAGGGCTGGCAGGTGAGTCTGGGCGCCCTCCGACCGCGCTGGAGCAGTCACAGGAATGCCACTTTGCCTAAAAGAAACCTGCAAAGAAACGGAGATGTCTCCACTGATTACAGATGGTCTGGCTAACGTATGTTAGAGCTGCAGCCCTACCAAGGCTAGCGTCCTCCTACGTTTAGATTGCTGTTGGGTGCCAGCAAGTCAGTCTGACTCATAGCAACCCCATATGACCGAGCAGAACTGCCCCGTAGGGTTTTCTAGCTGTAATCTAGGCAGATCGCCAGGCCTGTTGTCCTGAGGAGCCACTGGGTGGGTTTGATCCGATGACCTCTCGGTTAGCAGCCGAGTACTTAACCTTTGCATGAAGTTTCAGTAATTAGTGGCCCCCTTTCTGATGTCTAGAAATGTGAAGATTGGAATATACCGGGTTACATGTCTGTGCTTGCTGTGTGTTCTGTAATCCTGTGCTAATTTGGAAATACACCATCAGCATTGTTTATATACAGGGCGTCTGCGTGGATAAATGGTGTATGTTTTGTCTTTGCTTAGAACTGAAGGACCTGTCTTTGCATGTTGTGCTCATTGACATTTTATCTGTAGCTGATATTACCAGCTCATTGGTTTACTCAGTAGGCATTTTGAGCACTGCTTGATCTGGTCTTTTTTTTGTCCTGATGTGCTCCCAGACCAGGGCATGTGTTTCTTTTTGATTTCTCTCTAAAGAACAGTAGTACTCCATGCTGGATTTTTGTTTTGTTTTGTTTTTATTTTTTATTTTTGGTGAAGATAAACAGCAAAACAGATCAGTGCAACAGTTTCCACACATTCGGTGACATTGGTGACATTCTTCAAGTGGTGCTACCTTTCTTGATATTCTTTTCCAAATTGTTTCACCATGATCAACACAAACTCAGTGTTCCCTAAGCTTCCTATCTAACCTTTTGAGTTGCTGTTGTCAATTTGGTCTCATATAGATAGTTCTTTAAAAGACCACAATGCTCAAGGCAGACATTCTTTTCTAATTAAGCTGAACTGTTGTTTGATTTAAAGATTACTTCAAGAGAATTAGTTTAAGGTTTAAAGATTATCTCAAGGCAATAGTTTTTGGGGGTCATCCAGCCTCCATGCTCCAGAAAGTCTGGATTCCATGAGAATTTGAATTTCTTTTCCACATTTTCCCCCTTTTGATTAGGAACCTTCTATAGTCCTGTGGTAGATTTTGATAGGCAAAAACCACCACTGTGCTTTGCACTTTTCCAGTAAACTCAGTACACCAGCACAGAGGGCTGGTGCCGTGGTCTTCATAACATGCTTTCCCTTTAGGTCTCGCCTCTGTTGTGTTCAGGCCCCCGTGTGACTTTGTAGCGGTGTCTCTGGATAATTCAGCATCAGGGGCATGGGCTGGGCAGGGGTTTGTTTGCCGATTTGCCCAGTCATGATGGACCCCTCTGCTTCCCTGCAGAATTCGATTCGACACAACCTCTCTCTGAACCGTTACTTTATCAAAGTCCCACGTTCCCAGGAGGAGCCTGGTAAGGGTTCTTTTTGGCGAATAGACCCTGCCTCAGAAGCCAAACTCGTGGAGCAGGCATTCCGGAAACGGAGGCAGAGAGGCGTCTCCTGCTTCCGGACTCCCTTCGGGCCCCTGTCATCCAGGTAAGCCCTGCTCTGCGCCGGCTTGGTATCTACAAGCTGTAGGGGAGCATGTCGCCCAGGATAGAGGACTGTGTTTAGATTTTCAGTATTGTTTTTGGCATTTAAAAATTTAACCCTCCCCCAAAAGAATGCCTAGGGACGGACGAGCCTCTGTACCAGTTAACGAAGTTACTGAGTAAACCACTGGCCCCTCTAACATGCTGGTTCTTAGAAGCTGACATGGGGAGAGCAGCGTGAGTGGTGTTTAAAAACGTGATGAGCATCAGCAGAGTATGGTTGCAGTGATTCTGGTGGAGCCAGGCTCTTGGTTGGAGGGTGTGAGGAGACCTCATAAGGAGCAGGGAGAGACAAGGGTGAGATGGTGGCAGCAGCTTGACAGGCGTGCTCCAAGCTCCCTATGCCCTCTCGGGTGCAGGTTCTCCCTGTGGAGGGTCTGCCTGCACACAGCGACGGCCTGGTCTGCCTGCACACAGCAACGGCCTGGTCTGCCTGCACACAGTGACGGCCTGGTCTGCCTGCACACGGTGACGTCCTGGCACAGAAGCCAGGTCACATCCTGGGAGACTGGCAGGCCTTTCAGGAAATACGTGCTCCTGCCGGAAGCCAAAAAACAGCGCTGTGTTTAGTGAGGCTTTAAATGCCAAGTCTCTGTGATCAGGGCAGGTTGTCGCTGCCAAGAGTGTCGGAGCGGTGTACATCGTAGGGGCCAAGGGAAGGATGCACGGGATGTTTTGTTCACTGTCCTTCTCTTGAATCAGACTGACAATGGTGGTCTCTTTTCTAGGAGTGCTCCTGCCTCACCCACCCACCCCGGGCTCATGTCCCCACGCTCCACTGGCCTGCAGACCCCAGAGTGCCTGTCCCGGGAGGGCTCGCCCATTCCGCATGACCCAGATTTTGGGTCAAAGTTAGCGTCCGTTCCCGAGTACCGGTATTCCCAAAGTGCACCTGGTGAGGACCGTGTCTGTCCTTGTGTCAAACGCAGCAGGAGTTGGCACGGTGGGAGGGGGTCAGGACCTGCCATCCACCCCGCTGCGGCCTGACGCGCCCCTTCTGTGTCCAGGCTCACCAGTCAGCACCCAGCCGGTCATCATGGCAGTGCCGCCCCGGCCGTCCAGCCTGGTGGCCAAGCCCGTTGCCTACATGCCGGCCTCCATCGTGGCCTCCCAGCAGCCCACGGGCCACGCAATCCATGTGGTGCAGCAGGCGCCCACCGTCACCATGGTCAGGGTTGTCACCACATCTGCCAGCTCCACCAACGGCTACATCCTAGCCAGCCAGGGTGTGGCCGGCGGCACCCACGACACCCCAGGCACGGCTGTGCTGGACCTGGGCAGTGAGGCCAGAGGTAAGGCGGCTGGTCAGCGCCTGCATTCTGGGTCTCGGAGAACTTTAGTCAGGGTAGAGATCTGAGGGCCCCAGGGTGGGACCGGCACTGTCCTTGGGGCAGGGGCTTCGGGGATCTTTCCTTTAACATCCATGCCGACAGTTCTCCTGAGCACGTCCTCAACTGTCTGGGAACACCATCAACAGCACATAGCACTTCCTTGGATTTCATTTTCACCTCAAGGGACATTGAGTGAAGTTGTGGGTCCTGCTTCCAATGGAATGTAACATTTTCTGAGGCAGGAGGATGGCCCTGGGAATGTGGCTCCTTGGCCCCAGAGAGGAGCCTCTTAGCAGCATTTCCAGCAGAACGTAGAAACCCGGGTCTGGGAGTGAACGAGCAAACGCAGAGACGCAGCCCACGCTGCGGAGTCCTGGGTCTGGGCATGAACGGGCACACACGGAGACGCAGCCCACGCTGCAAGGTCCTCTTGGGCCTTTATGTTGAGCAGCACCTGCTCCTGGTCATCCACCACCATTGGCTTCATCTCTCAGGACTCTCTCATGTTACTACTGTCACAGTGGGCAATGCGTTTTGGTAGAAGACTAAGTTACAACTCTAAAATCAAATCACTTCGTTTCAAATACTGTATGTTTCAGATTAGATTTGGGGTGGCTAAAGTTCAAGGTGTTTAAACTTTTTTCTAAAGCCTATTTGTCGTCTTTATTTCAAAATATGTTCCATCAGTGAGGTTCCTTTCTGAGAGCCAGGCTGCCGGGAGGCCCCAGCCTGGTGCCCGCAGGCTGCCTGCTGCCCACCCAGAGCACATAGCCATCAGGGGCTGTGTCTAACACACGTCCTGTCCTCTAGGCCTGGAGGAGAAGCCCACCATCGCCTTCGCCACCATCCCTGCCACCAGCCGTGTCATTCAGACGGTGGCCAGCCAGATGGCCCCGGGCGTCCCTGGACACACAGTCACCATCCTGCAGCCAGCCACCCCAGTGACCCTTGGGCAGCACCACCTGCCGGTACGGGCTGTCACCCAGAACGGGAAGCACGCCGCCCCTGCCAGCGGCCTGGCCAGCAGCGCTTACGGTGAGGCTTGGGGGTAGGCTCAGCAGAGTGCACCAGGGACAGAGGCAGAGCCCACGGGGCCCCAGGCCTGCAGAGGGCAGGGGAGGGGATGACAGGAGGAGGTCAGGGCTGCAGCCACTGGACAGCAGGTGTCGGGGGGGGGCGATGAGCAGGGGTGGGGTTCAGGGTAGGTGGCACTTATGTGAGGAGGTGCACAGGAGCCAAGAGTGAGCCTTCCCATGGTGTCTTGTGGGGTGGCTGGCAGGGGGAAAGGCAGGTGGGTTGAGGCCGCAATGGAACACGGGCAGGTCGGGGTACCCAGGACTGTAGGCTCTTGCACACTGTGTGAGTAGGGTAGGGCAGTGAGAGCAGGGGAGGGGGCCAGGTGGGGGGCCAGATGGGGCAGTGAGAGCAGGGTAGGAGGTCAGGAAAAAGGGGCCAGGCAGGGCAGGTGTCACAGCCACATACAGACCTCAGCTTTCTCCACCTGACCTGGGGGTGAGGGGCATTGGCGGGGTGTGAGGGCCATGGCCTCAGGTGGGCAGGCAGCGTGCTGCCACCTGGCTCTTTGCCTTTACATTGCCCTTCAGCAGGTGATGTGGCCTGTGCTCTGGAAGGTAGGTGCTGGTCCTTGCCAGACCCCACTCACAGCCTGTTTCTCCCCCCAGCCCTCACCAGCCCCCTGCAGCTCCTCGCGGCCCAGGCTAGCTCATCCACTCCTGTGGTGGTGACACGCGTGTGTGAGGTGGGCCCCGAGGAGCCACCAGCCGTGGTCACAGCAGCTGCCACCCCCACCACCGCTGCCCCCACTGCTGCCATCTCCCCGACTGGGGAGCCTGAGATCAAGCGGTCCCGGGTGGAGGAGCCTGGTGGGACAGCAGCTGCGCAGGCCGGCGTGATCGCGGCCGCTGGCCCCCAGGGCTCAGGCTCCGGAGAGTGACAGCCCACATCGTGAATCTGAAGCGGGGGTGCGGCCGAGCCCGCTGCGCTCATGGACGTGCGTGGGCAGCGCAGCCCGGAGCCCACAGTGCCCAACGTGTCAGGAGTGACCCACCACACACCCGGGACACGCAGTCACTCCACCTTTTATTCTGCCCTCCCCGTGGTCAAACACAAACATAAACACATTCAGACAACTGATTGTATGGTTCTGGAAATTCTTTTCTTCTCTTCCCTTCGCACCTTCTCTTCCCTCAGCCTTGCTCTCAGGGGCACGGAGGGGAAGGTTGTAGTCCAGCATTCAAGGAGTGTACCCCAGCAGATGTGCCATGAGGAGCAGGCCACCCTGTCCATGCCCTGGCACCCCCATCCTCTCAGCTTAGTGGGCATGGAAGGAGAGTGTTGCCCGGAAGACTACACAGCGCTGGAGGGACGGATGTGGCCTGGTCATAGCAGGTCCATGAAGCTGCACTCACCAGCATGGACATAGGCAGGGCACAGCAGGTTGCCCAGCTTCTGATCACGTGGGACGCCTAGGAGCTGTTGGCATTAACCTGGGGTCTGGTGTGGCTCTCAGACCCCAAGTACTCCGCATTATGTGTCAGCGTGGAATTCAGGTGCAATCGCAAGTCAGAGGCAAATTCGTGTTCCTGAGGCTCCTGCATGGATAGTTGACAGTGTCAGTCGGGCGCTTGCTGGCCCCATCCCCTCGGAGGTGGACATGCCTTGCTGGGTGAACTCAAGGAAGACAAGGTGGAAGGTCAGCCCGAGCCAGTGGGCCAGGGCTCCCCACCCTCATGTTGCATCAGCTCAAAGTTGGGGCACCTGGTGCTGGAGGTAGAAAGAGGTTACTGGCTCCATGTGGAAGAGAGAGCCACAAGGGCATTCACAGGGTTGCTGTGTTGGGGAGCGGCAGCAGCCTGACTCTGTGCCCGAGGTCAGGGCCATACCTGCAGTGGGACCTGGTCATTCTTCTCTTGAGCCAAATCAGTTTCACTCACGCCCAGCGCCTGCCTGCTGTTTGAAGTCCGAGCCGTCTCTTCTGCCTGAAGCACCAGGGCCCTAGGTCAGTCAGCAGGAGGAAGACTATCTCCCAGAGCAGCGTGGGGGTCGTGTGCCCGCCCCAGCCCACCTCACTGGCTGTTCAGTCCTGGTGTGACATGGTGAGAGGCCATGCTCTCCCGGCCCCGTGGATGGCCTCTTGTGCCCCACAGCCTCTGAGGCCCAAGCCCTGCTAGCAGTCCGAGCCCGGGCCACAGACTTGTAGCCAGTTTGGGGTAGGACTGCAGCCCCTCAGCTGCACCTGGAGAGCGTGTTCAGGAAACGGTGGGTGCGTGCGTGTAAGCGTCCTTCTGAAGCCTGACAGGCATTCTGGTGTTGGCTCTTAACAGTTGTGGCCACAACCAGAAACAGCAGCAACAAAATCTAACGAAGCCCCAGAGTCTCGGAAGAAACAGGCTTCTCCGGGAGCCCTCCTGTCCCTTCCCCAAGCACCGCGGCCACCAGGTTTCCCTGCAAGGTGGCCGAGGGCCAGAACAGACAGTCACACAAGAGTAGGTGCAGACTGAGCTGTTCTGGTTTAAAATGGTTTTAAGGAGCCGCAGGCAAACTGGGTGTTCTTGGCCGGGTGTGACCAGGGCACCGGTCCCTGCACGGGATGGGGTGCAGGGCTCTGCCTGTCTCGATGTCCACAAGGCCAGCATCACTGAGGCCACCTGGGCCCCCACCGTGGGCAATGAGGTGCTCCAGCATTCCCTCTGACGGGTAGGGGAGCACGCTTTCCAGGCTGTTGTTCAAGCCCTCAGACCGGTCGTTTTTATGGCACTAAACTTTAGATGGAAATAAGCTTCTGTGTGGTGTCCACTCCTATTGCCACCCATAAAGCTCTGAGGGGTGCAGACGGGCTGATGTCAGCGTGTGAGTGTCATCGAGGCAGAGGCTGCAGTTGGGTGGGGGTGTGCTCTGCACCTCTGTATGCACCTGTGTTCTGTGTGAACATCCACCCTGCAGTGACATTTCCTGACCCATGGCCTTGAAGCCCAGGGTGTGGACCGTGCCTCCGGGTCTCCTGCTGCATCTGTCCCTTCTGGGCTGGGTGACTGCACAGATGTGCCTCCTCTGAGAGCCGGTGTGGTCTGCAGGGGACACCTAGGGCGACCACACACAGCTCTGGGAGTTTTGGCCTCTGCCAGATCTGACCCTTTGCTTTCCTGACATTGACAAGTTTGGTTTCTGTCCATTACGAGTACCAGTTCCATATACCATAAGGAGGAGGGAGTGACAGGACGGGACGCAGGCTGAGGGCCCGTGGGTGACTGCCCTGCATAGGATCTGCATTCTTAGCTTTGCTGGGTCCAAGAGGTGGGAACGGTTAGGGTACAGGTCCTGTGGAGTCAGCTCAGACCCAGAGTGGGGCCAGGGGGTGAAGCCTCCGTGGTTCGTAAGTAAGGGGCTTCTTGATGGGGGCTTGGTCACCAGCCAGGTCACGTGCCTGGCTGATTCCACAACCTGACCTGGAACTGTGAGCCAAAAGGCCCCGGAAGGGCCAGTGGCCAGAGGAGATGCAGCCCCAGGCAGAAAGGCTGCCTAGCACCCCAGAGCCAAGCATACGATGGCCCCCAGGAGCCCCGAGCCAAGGGGCCGGGAGAACCTCCATGTCAGGAGTGGCCATTCATTCCACAGTGTGGGCGGCACTGCAGCATCATCCTGGACTGAGCGGGTAGGCATCCCAGCTGGTGCCTTCCCTCCGGCACCTCAGTCCTGCCAGGGGACTCACACTTGCTTTACTTTCAGGTGCTGTGCCCCCCCGGGGAGCCAACTCACCTCTGGACTGAGGTTAGGGAGGAATGAGGCCAGGCCCCCAGGACCCAGAGGGACAGGGTGGGTACAGGTCAGCCACCCTCCTGATGGCCTAGTTGTGCCTGTTGAGGGGGCTTGCTGTTTGTATTTTCTTTCTCTGATTTAATAGCAAAGCCAAATGGGACAGGTGAAGATGGGTTACATGTGACTCTTAGGTGGACACGCTGTTTTCTGGAGCTGGGGAAAGGTGACCAGGTAGCACCTCGCCTCCCGTGGGTGGATGGGCCTCACGGCCCCTGGGCCCCTGGGCCCCTGTCTGCACCTTGGTGGGCTGTGAGAGGTGGGCTCGAGGGCCCAGGCTGTGTCCTGCTCACTCTCATTTCCACTGAAATGAAAAAGGACAGCCCAGGAATACCTTGGGGTGAGACGAGACTTCCCAAGGGGGCTGTGATGTAACGGCTCTGTACCTTTGTCAGGCAGCTCAGAAGGAGGAGAACGGTTTTCTGGCTTTGATGTTTTCCTGGCATGTAGTTAACTTCTGTCTTTATGGACACAAAGAATAGACCTCTTTTAAAAATGGACTCGTATTGAATGTGAGAAGGTGTCAGAAAAGAAGAAAGGGTTCCTGTAGCTTTTAGAAGTCCAGTGGGAGCGGTGAGGATGTTTCTCCTCCGAAGCTTCTGATTCTTTGCACTTAGTATCTCCGGCCTGGATGCCCAGGCTTGTCCTCTGTGCTCCGGGCCCTCTTGAGGGGAGGCAGGAGAGATAAGACAGCCCCTGAGAAGGCTCTGTACCTGTGGGTGGCTGAGAGGGAGCCAACCGTGTGCACAGACATGGCTGGCTCTGGTTTGTTCCAGTGTTGTATGGCACACTGCTTGTTCTAGAATAAGCTACAAGATGGCTGTGAGACTCTTTGCAGACAGGAAGAGCCCCAGAGCGCCAAGGACAGCCTGGTCCGTGGGGCAGGGGGAAGCTGCGGAAAGCACAGACTGGGCCGTCCTCCTAGTCGTGGCTCAGAGTAGAATGTTTGCCCACAGCCTGGTTGTGAGCCCCCCTGGTGATACCTCTGCCCAGAAGCAATATCATGTCATGAGAGTAACGTAACGTTCCCCTGTGAGCTGCTATGAGGCGGGACCAGGCTTCCAGGACCAGCTCGGGGGTCCCGTGTGGCTTGGTTCTTCAAGGGGGCAGATAGAGTCACAGTGGTGGCTCTCGACCACTGTCTGTGTCCCTGTACTTTATACTTGCCTTTCGTTCCCTAGACCCTCTCTCCGGCCCTTGTTTTCCACATTAAGGTTTTAAAATGCTCAGGACACAGTTCTCTAGTCCAGCACTTAAACGTTCTCGCAGGGGTCTGCTGCAGAACACTTTCTTTTAGGACCAGAAGCTGCTGCTGCAGTGGGGTGTGGGGGAGAAGTGAGGATGGTACTCTGTGGGGGAGGGGGGGACAGGGCAGGGGGAAGGTGCACAGGGAAAGGGGGACAGTGTGCAGGGGAGAGGTTGTGAGGACGGTGTGCAGGGCAGGGGGGACAGTGTGTGGGGTGGGGGAGATGGTGCTCCATGAGGCAGAGGTGGGGATGGCACTCTGTGGGGGAGAGGGGGAATGGTATGTGGGAGTGAGGTGGGGACGGGGCATGGAGTATGGGTACAGGGGAGAGGTTGTGGGGACAGTGTGCCGTGGGGGGAGGCGCCGTCCCTCCTGTGGTGGTGGAGTGGCCGTGCACCTGGAGGGCACCAGCTCTCATGCACACCACGTCTCCCTGGCCTTGGTGAGGCCGGAGTCCTGCCAGGGAGTGAGTGTTGTCGGGTCTTCTTATGTGTGCGGTGGTCGTGCCCACCCCATCCTGAAGCTCTGGATGAGAGCAGCTCAGAAGGGTGGGGTTCTGGGATACAGCCACAGGCATCACCTCTGAACCCATTTCATTGACTGTGATAGGGAAGAAGGTTTTATTCTTACGTTAAAAAAAAAAAAAAAAACACTTGTCGAGCTTTTACCCTTGACCATCTCTGCTGTGGGCTCTTACTGGTACAGTGGACCCCCACTCCCAGCAGGGCTGCGGCCCCCTGGCCTGCTCTTGGGGGTACTTTTCTCCACATGCTTTCCAAACCCCCTGCCCCAGGGGAGGGAGGGTGTGCAGACACAGGGAGAGGGTGCAGAGGTGCCGGGCCAAGTCGAGGTCCTGTTCTGTAGTCCCCGCACCCGGCTGGGTGGCACACTAGGAGGAGCCTGGCCTTCGTGTGCAAGGTCACAGCCTCACCCGTCTGGACTGTTCTCTGTAGTCACGGGAGCTTCTGGAACCGTCCCACGAGCTTCCCAGCCCGTTGACTGGGTTGGAGTGAGGGCATGGACTCTGGGGTGGGCTTTCTCCAGCACGAGTTCACCTGGCCCAGGGGCATATCACAGGTGTGCCCACAGCCCCATAAGCCCTAGTCTCTTGACTTTTGGGCTAACTGGTCCAGATTTTTCTTTTTAATTCTGACTTTTTTAGAATCAAATATTTTAGGTTTGACCCCTTCCTCCTTCCCTTCCTTCCTTCCTCACTTCCTTTCAGGAAAGGCTTTTGAATACCTAGTGTACCTTAATTTATGTAGCTTGATTTCAGTTTCAGGAAAAGGAGTGGGGAGGAACGAGAGAGACTGTCCGCCTTTGACTTCACCATGTGCAGACTCACGAGCTAGACGTGTCCGAAGACCACAGGGCCCGTCCCCATGAGCCCAGCCTGAGGAGGGGTTAAAGCTAGTTCTGGGAGTTCCTTCTTCCGAGCTGAATGATAATTCTGTAAAAACAATTTGGCGGGGGGGTATTGTTAGGTGTGTGTGTGTGTGTGAGTGTGTGTGTGTATGTGTACACGTGTGCACAAGTTTTTTTACTGTGGCTGTCTAAAGTATTTCTCACAATCTGTTTAATAATCAGTGCTTTAAGAAGCAGTGGTATTCTATAAAGTGGAAATTTAGGCTCTAAATTTAGGCTCTCACATGTCGTTGTGGTGTCACAACATTGGTGGGTGACAGCTGTGTGCTGGCGAGCACAATTGGGCACTGCGAGGAGTTGACCAGGCAGCCGAGGGGGAGCCAGCACTGGTCATGCAGTGGAGACTGGGCCAGCTGGTTTTCATTTCAAATGGGATACAGTATTTTTTTAATAAGGAGCCATACTTTTTTTTTTTTTTTAAGTTTGAGATCTGAATGTGATTTCTAATTGTATCAGACGTTAATGTTTTAAGGTTATAACAAAGTTTAAAATTTCTACTTTTTTTTCCCATTTATTTTAACTGTTCTGTTATTATCTATTAAATTGTTGTACTTGGACGGGGAAGTTTTGTTTCTCCTCTTAGCATTTGTTTCTATAACCAGAAATAAAATTATATATTAAAGACACGACAACCCCAGGCTCTGTGTAGTCCTTGGCAGGCTGCTGAGAGGGATGGCTGGGACCCCCAGCTTCTCCTGCTGCTGCCTGGGGTGAGCGTGGGGCCATGAGCAGACAGCTACTGGGGGGTCTGCTTTCTCTCGTTGGTCTGGGGAAGAAGCAAACTGGCAAACAGGGTGATGTCCATGGGTCCCTGCAATTCCTGGGACCCACCCCCCCTCCCGGCCCCTGGGGAGCGAGCATCAGCAGACCAGCCCGTGTCTGCCCCTTGGAGGAGACAGTGAGGCCAACCTCCAGCTCTGTGGCACTCGAAGCCTGGGAGAGGGCGGTCACAGGTGCCCAGCGCTGCCTCGGCCGAGCCTCTTGCCCATCGGGTGGCCTTCCTGCGGGTACTCGGCCAGCTGAGAATTGATGCCTCCCGGTGCCTGTATCAAGCAGGCAAGGCTCACACTGGGTGCTGGGGGCAGGGGGCAACCAGCCAAGGAACTTGGGCTGGAGCTGGGGGTCAGCAGCCTGGGTGCCAGGGCCTGCTCTTCTGTTCAGCCACAGGACCGGAAACCGTAGCAGGGATAACCCACCACAGAGAACGTCCCGGGGCGAGGGAGGAAGGGCCTGCCAAGCCCCCTCCTTTCTCTGCAGGAGCAGTTCTGAATCCCGCAGGAAGACGCTGGGTATGAGCTGCTGGCCACTCTGACCTGGGCTGGGGCTCCATAAAATGTGTCACAGACGTATCCTCCATCAGGTTCTCTATTGTTGGTGCCTGTGGTTCGTGATCTCATTCATCTAAATAAACTGTATATAACGTGCCTGTTTTAGACGTACAGGGTTCCTCAGCTGCTCCTTCAGGTGACTCCATTCCTACATTAAGTTCTAATTCTAAACCTTGACATCCCATTAGCAGAGTCATATTTTAAGCAGGGCTTCAAACTGGTTCATTTCTAACAAATTCCCAGGTGATGCTAATGCCGCTGGTTAGGGACCAATTCAGAGAACCACTAGTAAAGTAGTGGTTCTCAAAATTTATTATACATAAGAAAATCACCTTGGGGATCTTGTTAAACTGTAGATTCTGGTTCAGTGTATCTGGGGTGGAAATGCAAATTCTCAGCAGGAGTTTGAACCAGAATGAACAGGTTTGAAGCCTTAATTAGTTTTTCAGTTTTAATTTTTTAAATTTGTTTCTAGTTGAGACAACCATTTTTCTCTACTAAGGCGTTAAAATAGCATTTTACACAAATGTAAATTTTTTGGGAAACAGGTCCGATGTTACCCTTGGTAATATCACTTGGTGTGTGCATGCATGTGTGTAGGGGCGGGGATGATTCCTAGCATGTACTTAAGTGTTCGATACGTTAGCTCCCCTGTGAGTCAGGGATGGATGAAGAGAAACAGTCCCACCAAAAGACATAAGAATGTGCTTTGCAGCTCTGTTCGTAATTGCCAAAACTTGGAACCAACCCAAATATTCATCAATAGAGAGCGGGTAAGTTGTGGTAAATTCGTATAATCACATAAGTACACACACAAAAAATAACCAAACCACTACAATGCAGCAACGTGGGTGACTTGCCGGCATTCAGAGTGGAAGAACGATCAGAAGATGAACACTTGTGGCTTCATGGACAGGACATGTACAAAGAAGCAAAGCCAACCTCTAGTGACAGAGTGAGGATGGTGGTGGCAGGAGGGAGCCTCCTGGAGAGCTGGGTATGTTCTTTGTCTTGATCTGGGCGGCATTGAATGAGCTTATAGCAGGGATGTGCTGGAGCCGGCTTGCAACAGCTGATTGTTAAATTTTCAGGAATCTTGTGAGCTGGCTGTTAACATGGCCGTTATTAAAAAGTCTAAATTATGTGAACTTAAATAAATTACATTATAAACAAATACTCAAGGTCCATCACTTCCTAATTATTTGATGATTATGGATGCTGTCAGGGTCATTCACAGCTGTGTGGGGGACGTACTATATAATGGGGTGCAACTGCACTTCTCCAATTCTGCCTTCAGTGAGGTCATGTTGTAACTTGAAATCAGCCATGGTGGGAGTATTTACACCACAGAAATTGGCAAATGCTACAAATCAAGAGATTTCTTCCCTCGCCCTCCCCCTCAGAGCCAGTTAAACATTCACCAGCACACCACTGATTTATAGAAATGTAGAAAGTCTACATTTAAGATTTGTGCACTTTATATGTTTTATTTTAATAAACATTTTTTTAAGTTCTGAAACTAAATATTTGAAGTCCTTCCTAGCTCTCAAATTTTGTAGGTTTAAATGTAAGATAAGGAGCCCTGGTGGTGCGATAGTTAAGCTCTCGGCTGCTGACCAAAAGGTTGGTGGTTTGAAGCTACCTAGTGGCTCTGCGGGAAAAAGACCTGGCGATCTGCTCCCATGAAGATCACAGCCTAGGAAACCCTATGGGACAGTTCTACTCTGTCACATGGGGTCACTACGAGTCGGAATTGACTGAGTGGCACATGACAACAAATAATATAGGATGGCACAGGACCAGCCAACATTTTGTTCTGTTATACGTAAGGTTGCCATGAGTTGGAGCCGACTCTGCAGCAACTAACAGGAACAAGAACAAATGTAGTTACCTTTGAATTTGGTTTGTATGCCACGGCTCAAGTAAACCAGCACACTCTCACCGAAACTGTGTGTGTCCTTAATGAAGCTGTTGTCTGATGGCTTCATGCCCATCTTCCCATCCTCCGACTTCTGGGCTGGGACTCTGTAGTCCACATTTCTGCTTTGACAGCTCCTCCATCAGGCCCTGCCAGCAGGGTGGCCGAGGGGGATGGGAGGTAGGAGGAGACATCCATGTCTGGCAGCAGTGGCTGATGACGGTCACTGTGTGTCTGGCACTGGCAGGGCCAGCCACACTGTGGCCCTTGGAGGTCTGAGTTTCAGCTCTGGGACCCTGCCTCTTAGCTTCTCAGTTTTAATCCCACCCTCGTCTGCTTGTTCCCCACTACCAGCGTGGTCAGCACCTCGTATCCCTGTTTTGCCTTTTCACTTTTTCAGGACCTAGCTAGCAAGTCCACAGATTGACTCCTGGGCTCTGACCGTCTGGCAAGGCAGTGGCCTCCTGCCTGGTCAGCCGAGTCCTCGTTCTCAGCTCCTCAGTGTTCACTCCCCTTAGCCTCCCCGAGGCACTGAGGTTCAACTGCTGCACTTGGGCTCCTGAGGCACCGTGTTCTCCCCCATCTCTTCCCACCTTTCTAGCTGCTCCTCCGCGGGCAGCGAGCAGAGCGGCTGCCAACATTCACTGGGAGGCTAACTGCAGGTTTCAGTGCCCTGCACTGCTCACAGGTGTGGGACCTTGGGCACCCTAACTGGTGTTTTCATTTCATCCTTACAATGGTGGTCATAGAAGCATCTGCTGAGAGTCGTCCCAGAGGTGAGAGGAGGTCACTATGTACAGTGCTTGGCACAGTGGCCAGCAGGCCTGCCCCCTACTCCCCCCCTCCATTCAGGCACCTTACTGCGTTTCCCTCCAAGGCTGCTCTCTACCACCCTCCAAGAAACACCACCGTCCTTCTCCCACTCAGCTGCGTCTCCCTCCTTAGCGTGTGTGCATGTCTGTATGTGTGATCAGATGGCTATCATTCCATGAGGGCGGGGACTTGGCCTCTCCCTCATGCTCTCTCCCCCAGGACTATTGCTGTGCCTAGCAGAGCAGGGACACCATCACTTTTTGTTTATGAATGAACAACTCCCCAAATGTTCGAGTCCTTTCCTGCCCCAATGCCAAGTGAATGCACCACCCTTAGCCTGAGTCGGAAACCTGCTGGTTGCCCTTGATTTCTCACTTTTCCTCACCCCCCACCTGTCAGTCATCAAGTCCTACAAATCCAACCCCATGAATGGTGACTGTTACGGATTGAATTGTGTCCCTCAAAAATACGTGTTGAAATGCTGACCCCTATGCCTGTGGTTATAATCCCATTTGGGAATAGGTTGTCTTAGTTATGTTAATGAGGTTGTATCAGTGTAGGGTGTATCTTAAGCCAATCACTCTTGAGACATAAATCAAGCTGATTAGGCAGAGGAGCATGCAGAGATGGGAAAGATGGATGCCACACCACATGGAGATTGTCAAGGAAACAGGAGGTGAAGAGGCAAGGACCTTCCCCTAGAGCCACCAGCACCCTAATAGCCTGCTAACTGTGAGAAAATAAATTTGTTAAAGCCACCCACTTGTGCTTCTGTTATTGCAGCACTAGATAACTGAGTCAGGACAATCCGCATGGTTCTCTATTCTCAGGGCCATTCTGTACTCTCAGGGCCTTTGCCTAGTTGGGCAACATCTTTCTCCTGGACCACTGGCTGCACCAGTCCCCTGCCTCTAACCCTTTGCCCACCCATGACGTCAGCAGCTCCTCGGGCATTCACCCCTTCCCAGCCCCTGCGCTTAAGCAGCATGAAGCTGGGCGTGTCTCCAGCCGTCCCAAAGCGGCTGCTCGCTGCTCTGCTCGTTTGGCTTCCATCTACATCTGCCCCCTCCTACCCCTTGCTCTGGACACCCCGTATTCCTGCCGTGCTCCTCCTTGGCTCCAGTCCTTTCCCAAAGCCTTCCCTCTCCTGTATCGTCGGCTGCACCAGCCCTCCTCGGCTGGAGTGGAACCATCCTGAGCATCTCTGTCCCCACACAGTCTGGAGGGCGGAAGCACTAACCCCTATGGCCAAGCCGATTCTGGACACTTGGTACATCTTTGAGAATGAAGAGACGCTGACCCCCTCTCCGCGCCTGTTCCCTCATCTCTAAAACAGGTGTCGCTCTCCTATGGTTCATGGGGGCTGAATCAGAGATGTTTAAAGCAGCAGGTACAGCCCGTGGTAGGGGCTCACGAATGGGGGCTGCAAGTCACCGAGCTCATGGGCACGTTCCCGTAGTCCTAGCACAGGGAGGGCTTGCGCATAGGTCTGCGAAGACGACACCGAACCAAGAACCCGCAAGGGCCCTGAGCCGGGGCTGCCTTCTCCACCCGGAGCCAAAGCCGCCGAATCCCCTGGACACCCGATTACCACCGGGGGCTGCGGTTTGGCCGTGGTTCCGAAGTTCCAGGTCGCCGGATTCTGGGGTCTCGGGGTGCTGGCGTCCCAGAGTGAGGGTTCCCGGGCTTCCAGGTCCCGGGGCTCCGCGGTGCCGGGTCGCGAGATGCGGGGCTCTGAGGATCCAGGGCCCGCAGTGCCGGGGTCTTCTCGGGGTGCTGGGATTCTGGGGCTCCGTGGTGCCTGGGTCGCGGGGTGAGGGTTCCGAAGATCGGGGATCCGAAGACCCGGGGTCGGGGCTCCGTAGCAGGCCGGTTCCACCAGCAAGCGCCAAGACCAAGCTTCCCGCCAGTCTGCGGCCAGAAAGGGAGCGGCCCCGCCCCCGTCCCGAGATGCTCCGCGCCAAAGCCCATTCATTGGTCGGCGGCAAGTCCGCCCGGCCCCACAGAGCCCCGCGACCCGCTCACGTGGTTCGGCACATGACACCAGCCCGGAAGTCAGCAAGCAGCGAGCCCGGCTCCCGGAGTTCCTAGAGGGTAGCGTAGTGTTTTGGTCTCTGGCGGCGGTGGCATGTTCACGACGGGGGCGGAGAGTCTGCTCCACCAGGCCAGGTGCGGCGGCCTTGAGTCCCTCCTGCTCCTTTCCCTTGCGGTGCCTGGGGTGGGGTCTCAAAGACAGGCCTGCGGGCGCCGGGGCCTGAGGGAGCCAGGGCCTGAGGGAGCCAGACTGGCACCCCTCTGCAGACTTGGGGGGCGGGGGAGCAACGTGCGGGCCAGGCCTGAGGTGAGGTGGGCCGGGGAGGGCCAAAGTGAGACCCGGAAGAGGGGACACCTGTGCAGCGTTTTGAAGGATGAAGTGGGGAGACACCTGCTTAACTGCTTGAGCAAAGAGTTGGCAGCGAGAACTCGATGTCTGGCAGGAAACACGGTGGGCAGAGCTGTCAGTTGCTTCAGAGTCAAGAGCATTAAGTCACAAAAAGGCTGGAGAAGTTGATGGGAATTAAGGTGAGCTGACGAGATCGCAGCTAATCAAAATGCGCTCTGCAGCTAACCAAAACGTTGGGGGTTCGAGTACACTCATGGGTGCCTTGGAAGAAAGGTCTGGCGATTTGCTTTTGAAAGGTCACAGTTTTGAGAACACTGTGGAACACAGTTCTGCTTTGACGTACATGGGGTTGTCGTGAGTCCACATCCACTGGTTAAGAAGTTTGATACTCATCGAGGGGCTTTTTGACACCACAGAAAATTTGTGATTTATAGAGATCGTTGATGCAGTGGATGGGTTGAAAAATTACCCACCATCTTCTGGTCTTTGGCTGGCTCTGGATTCTTACTAACTACAATTTTGCATAATATGTGTTCTTAAACATGTAAGATTTAATTCTTGTTCCCAGAAATTAAAGACACGTTGAAGGAATCTCTTGCAAAACAATTTATTTTAGACCAGATTTTCCTTATTTTTGAATGAGACTCAAAAAACAATTTGCTTTAGTTCTGCTCGTGGAATGACAAAATCTGAACACGTGCATCTCCATCAGTGAGGTTGGCAGTGATAGTGTCCTCCATGAGCCTGCCTGCCGGGGGGCGTGGTGAATCCCCGGGAGAGGGCCATGTTCGGATAGCCAGTCAGCGGGTACATCACGAGAGGCCAGCATTGTGGGTGGAAGCACTCTCCTCCCCTAGCACTGGGGTTTTTCTTTGCTAAGTAGGGATTGTCCCCCGTCTGGGAGTTGCTCTGCCCTTGCTTGGAGCAGCATTTTGGGCCCTGGTTGGACTCCAGGGTGCTGAAGTCCTCTTTTTTGTTTAGGGAGATTCAGGACGAGGAGCTGAGCAGGTTCTGCTCCCGGATAGTGAAGCTGCTGCAGAAGGACCCTGGGGCTGAGGCTGTGGATGCTCTACGGAGGCTGTTCCTCATTATCTCGGCAACAAAATATGGCAGGAGGTGAGTGTGAGGGCCCTGTGTGTTGCGGGTAATGCAGGTGGTGGAACCAGATGAAGCCAGGGCCATGCTCCTGATGTGGCAGCTGGGGGAGGTCCTCATCAGCACTCTGCAGCTCGGGGGCCTTCGGGTGTTCCTTTGGCACTTGAGTCTTTTTATTGTTTAGTGGCCATAGAGTTACCTCCAACTCATGGCAACCTCGTGCACAGTGGAACAGAAAACTGCCTGGTCCTGTGCCATCCCCATGATTGGTTAGGGATTGGACCATTGTGATCCATAGGGTTTTCACTGGCTGATTGTCAGAAGTAGATCACCGGGCCTTTTTTCCTAGTTCCTCTTAGTGTGAAGCTCCGCTGAAACCCGTTCAGCACCATAGCAACACGCAAGCCTCCATTTACAGAGGGGTGGCGGCTGTGCATGAGGTGCATTGGCTGGGAATCGAACTGGGTCTTCTGCATGGAAGGTGCACATTCTACCACTGAGCCACCACTGCCCGCTTCTAAACCAGGGCTGATGGGTCTCCTAAAACATAGGATGCTCCATCGACCTGCCGGAGGGACCTAGCGGCTTCTCTGCAGCGTGTGGGTACCCAGTGCCCTCATGGTGGCATGAGTGTGGCCGCCGTGTGTTCTCGTTCCAGGCTAGAGAAGCCCTGCATGGACCTGCTGCAGACCACCCTTTGCTCGCCCACATGCCCCGAGCAGCTCCAGCTCCTCTGTGCCGCCATCTTGCGGGAGATGGCCCCATCCGAGGGCCTAGCCCTATCCTGTGACCACATCCAGAACAGCCGCACTTTGAGCCTGGCGGCCTCTGTGCTTCTGGCCCAGGTAACCCCATGCCTCCCCCTCAGGGTGGCTTCCAGGGGCATGTTGTTGTAATCCATTGCCGTTGGTGCTTAATCCATGCTCACCTCCTCCCATCCCTGCCGGCGGGGCCCCTTACAGCCCCTGTGATGAACTGCGTCACGCACCCGCTCCTGTGTGTGACAAGACAGCCGGACGGTTTTGTTCCTTTCCTGCCCCCACCTGGAGGCAGCCCTTTTGTTTTCAAGGATCCTTATTTCTTTAGTGGGAAATGGTATCTCAGAGACGTGATCTCAGCTCCAGTGCTGCTCGTGACTGAATGGCTCACGATTGTTTCTCGGGCCTGTTCAGTGGTTGAAGCTTCTTATTGTTGTTGGGCACCGTGAAGTCAATTCCAACTCACAGTGACCCTGTGTGACAGGGTAGAACTGCCTCTTAGGGTTTTCTTGGCTGTAATCGTTACGGGAGCAGATCACCAGGTCTTTCTACTGTGGAGTCAGTGGTGAGTTCGAAGCACCAACCTTTTGGTTAGGAGCCAGGCCCTTATCCGTCACACCCCCAGGGCTCCTCTTGGACTAAGCTAGGAGTATGTATGTGTGTATGTGTGTGTATTTGTATATACATACATACATAGATTAAGACGTGGTACATCCTGAACTTGTGCTCCTGATGCTTCAGATTTGAGCTCAAGACCCTCAAGTGTCTCCCTGACCCCTCCCCTTGTGTCCATACCACTTTTCTGTGCCAAGTCCTAATCTGCCAGCACACCTGCCCCAGTCGCCAGGCACCTGCCGGGATGGAGGAGACAGCGAGCGGCCAGGCCCACCTGGTGGCCCAGCTCCTGGGTCGAGGCTCCTCAGTGCTGCTAGAGAGACTTCAAGCTCGTGGTTTTACGAGGTCATGTACAGCGGTTTAAAAGGCTGACATTCTGTCCTGCCACTTGACTTCAGTTTACTTGCTTGACCTTAAGGACGAACCTTCTGTGTTGTTGTTAGTTGCTATCAAGTCAATCCCACCTCATGGTTACCTCTCATGTTACAGAGAGAACTGCCCCGTAGGGTTGTTTTGGTTATAATCTTAACAGAGCAGGTTGCCAGGCCTTTGTTCTGCAGTGCTGCTGGGTGGGTTCAAACTGTCAACCTTTAGGTTAGCAGCTGAATGCAAACCGTTTGCACCACCGCTCAACTTTAAGGACAAACCTAATATATAAAACCTCAGTTCTTTGAGCCGGCTGGCACTGGCAGCACCCGAATGGTCCCTGACATTAGGTTGTGCAGGGTCTGCCTGGTGGGGGAGGCACGTGTCTGGCGACATAGAGGGGTTTGTCAGCTCTTGTCCCGGGAGGCGCCATAGAGCAGCGGTGCCTGGGAGAAGGCGGGAAGACCCATGGTTTTCACTGTTAGGCCAGTTACGTTCCCACTGGGGCCTCTCCTGCCCCTGACCCCCAGGCACCTCCCTACCATGCACCAGGGCTTTGCCGCACGGCACTTGGTGGCCCTCACTGCCTGCCTTCCTGTGTGAGCCCTGCCCCGTCAAGAACCTTGAGAACTGGGGGTCACTGTGCCCCCTGTGTCTGCTTTGAAGGGCGACAGGCAAGACGAGGTCCGCAACGTGGGGCAGCGTGCCCTGCAGCTCCTGGAGGCCCGGCAACCTGAGGGGCCTGGTCCGCGGCCCCTTCTCCCCGTGCTGTCAAAAGTGGTCAGCCTCGCGCCGGGCACCCTGCCCCAAGGTATGCAGTCACCATCCAGGGATCTGAGGGGGGCTTACCTCTGCTGGGCTCCGTTCTGCAGTTGACCTGGTCAGGGCGGAGAGGAAAACCCACGCGGGGCAGGGACGGGGCAGCGTGGGCCTGGCTGGTGGGTCCCTGCTGATGACTCCCACCTGGCAGGCAGCTCCCTCGTTGGCATTGCTGAGACAGCACGAGGCCCTTCAGGAGCAACTGTGTGCTTGTTTTAGTTCTCTGGTGGTGACATATATATACTACGGAATTTTTTCTCTGACCTATTTCTGAGTGTTTGGTGCAGTGGCAATAAGGACGATCACCACATTGTACCACTGTCTGTTCCCAAGTTTCCCATGCCCCAAACACAGGGATTTGAGAAGGTTTGGCCACATCGTTTTCGGCCCGCACGTCGCCTGGCGTAGCTTTGACTTGTCCCCCATGTTGCCACTTCCCCCATGTCACCCCCCACGTCATTCCCCACATCACCCCTCCCCATACCACTCTCTCCCCATTCTCCATATCACCCCCTCCCATCACCACTCGCCCACATCACCCCTCCCTCCCTATCACCCTCTCCCTGCGTCACCCTTTCCCCACGTCACTCCCTCCCCTGCGTCACCGTTCCTCCACGTCACCCCTCCCCCTGTACCACCCTCTCGCTGTGTCATCCCCTCCCCCGTGTCACCCCTTCACTGTCACCCTCTCCTCCATATCACCCCCTCCCCCACGTCACCCCCTCCTCTGCATCATCTCCTCTGTGTCACCCCATCCACCTCCTCTCTCAGCCCAGGCCGACCTGCTGCACAGGAGGCTGGTGGACTGGTTGCGCTACGCCAGCATCCAGCAGGGGGCAGCACAGCCCTCCGGAGGCTTTTTCTCTGCTCCCCGAACAAGGCAGGTACGAGCCATTCCAGGGTGCCACCAGGGTGCCAGGTTAACTGAGGTCCCGAGCCTCCCTCTCCCCTCGGGGGACCCCACGCCCCCGTGGCACCTGGCCTGGCAGAGTTGACCAATTCCTTCTGTCCGTCTACTGACCCTGGGTTCCAGTGGGCCTCTCCTTTCCTGTCTCCCTGGGGCTTTGGGCCAGATGGGGTCACATTGCACCCCCACACATTCTCTGGGTCTGTGCTGATGCCCAGCTTGTGGACGTGGAAACTTATTGAGGGCGGCTGTGGGCAGTGTTGCTTCTCCCAGGGCTGGGTGGGCATTGGGGCTACAGAGGCCAGTGGAGGGCACATTGCTCCGATCCCCTCCCTGCACCCCCACCCCGCCCAGTCCCCTGCAGCCCCCACCCCATCTCCCCTCGCCCCGCAGCCCGGGCCCGTCACGGAGGTGGATGGAGCAGTGGCCACGGACTTCTTCACAGTGCTGTCCACGGGCCAGCGCTTCACAGAGGACCAGCGGCTGAACGTGCAGGCCTTCTCCATGCTGCGCACCTGGCTGCTCTCCAGCGGCCCCACCAGCGCAGGTGCTGCCGATGCTGGTACGCTGCAGGTTGCAGGCAGGCACCCTTCAGGTGGGATGTGGGTGCCCCGTGGTCAGGCGCAGGCCCTCCGTGGGTCGGTGCAGGTACCCCACAGATCAGCACAGGCACACTGTGGGTTGGCACGAGTTCTCCACACTTGGTGGCCGGGGCAGCAGAGGCATCCTGCTCGGAGCTGGCCGAGAACCCTGGCCAGCGTACTGTCTCCTGCTGGAGCCTGGCCGGCACCAGGCTCTTCTAGACACACACTGGCTCCTCCGACCGCAGGAAGCAGTTGTCATTTAAGCAGAAGTTGATAATGCCTTTTCAAGAGCCTCACTGAGTCGTTCCACTGACCAACCAGCACCTCAGACGCTTAGGGACTTGTTGGGGGGCCTGAGCTGCAGCCGCAGTGGATCCTAGGGACAGTGACATACCAGCAGCTCCGCGCTTAGGCATGCAGACCCTGGGCCCTGGCGTGCCCACCTTCTCTCTGCTCTTTGTTCGGTGGCTGAGTGCCCCCTAGTGGCAGGTTGCCATGCCCCCTTGTCCTCTGCATCCTGCTGAGGGGCCCTGTCTCCACAGATGACAGATCAGAGCTGGAGGGCTCCACCCTGTCTGTGCTCTCGGCCACCAGCGCCACCGCCAGCCACCTGCTCCCCCCTCAGCAGCAGCTGCGGGCTGGGGCCTTTGAGTACTGCCAGCGCCTCCTGGAGCAGAGCACCCGGCGTGAGTGGGCGTTGGTGCTGGGGTGGCCCTGCCTGAGCCGGCACCCCTGCGGGGGTTCTCCACAGGCCCACGTGGGGGACTGCTTGTTTCCTGTCTCTACAGCTACCCCGAGGGGGCAGGCTGCGTGGTAGCCACTGCTTCCCAGAGAGGCTGTGTCCATGGTTCAGCCTCAGGGAGGGTGGCATTCCAGGGCTCTGGGACCATTCTGTTCCCCAGGAGGTGCTGTCCAGCAGGAGCCTACTCTGTCATGAGCCCGCCCTGTCCTTCCTCCACCTGACCTGGAGCTTTAGGACAACGCTGCCTTCTTATCTGCTGCCTCCTCCTTCCTTTCCTCCTCCCAGGAGCCCTGCGGAGAGGGGACTCAGACCTGCAGAAGTCCGTGAGTGCCTCTGCCCGCCCCAAGCCCTGTGTCCCCACCCACCCTGAGTGAGCCTCTTGTCCCTGCCTCAAGCTCTGTGCTTCCATACTAAGTCCCATGTCCCTGCACCTCCGCCCCAAACCCTGTGTCCCTGTCCCGCACCCACCCAGAGCCCTGTATCCCTGCCTGGAGTCCTGCACTCCTGCCCTGAGCCCCCATGTCCCCACCCGGAGCCCTGTGCCCCTGCCCTGAGTCCCCATGTCCCGGCCCAGCCCTGCATTCCCGCCCACCCTGAATCCTTCTTATCCCTGCCCCAGCCCCATGCTTCTGCCCCAAGCCCCGTGAACCTGCCCACCCCGAGCTTGACGTCCCCCACCCTGCCAGTGCCTGGTGGAGGCCGTGCAGTTGCTGGACGTGCTGTGCAGACAGGAGCCATCCTTCCTGTACCGCGCCCTGTCCTGCCTCAAGGCCCTGCTCGGGCGTCTGTGTGGGGACCCAGCCCAGGCCCGTGCCTTGCTGCCCATCGCCCGCTTCCTGCTGAGCCATGGTGAGCCTGCCTCAGCACGGGGGTGTGGGCCCCAGGCTGGGCGCGGGGCGCACAGGCAGGGGCCGTGCAGCAAGTCACCTGCGTTCGTTTTAAGGGCCGGTTCTTGTCCTGCTATTGCTGTCCTTCATGTCTAGAGCGTTCTCAGCTCCACGGGGGTGCTCGATGATAGTGGTGTTTACTTGGACTTATTTAGCAAAATAAGACGTCATCAGCTTTGATAGCGTCAGCTTTGTCGATTGGCAGTGTCCCTGGCCCCTGACACCCAAAGGCCAAGGACCCGGCACTCTCTGGAGTGTGCGTCACGTAACTCATGTCACTCAGGGAGACCGTCTGTGGCAGACACTTGGGAGGGGGCAGCTTTAACATGGCCTCCCCAGTGTTCCTTGCTAGGACCCCTCAGGACCTCTAGCACCATAAAGACCCGCGCGGGCATCTTGGCCTCCAGCTGGCCCCAGAGTTGTGTCTTTACGACACTAGCAGGGCCTCTTGCCCTCACGGGTTTCTCCACGCAGGGGAGGCGGCCGCGGTGGACTCAGAGGCCATCTGCCAGCACCTGTTCTCCAGTGTCCCAGCTGAGCTCTTCCCCAGCCCCATGCTGGCCTTTGAGTTTGCCCAGTTCTGCAGGGACAGCCTTCACCTCTTCAGCCCGGACCAGGGCATCTTTAAGCCCAGCTTCCCGAGCCTCTTCAAGGTATGTGGGGCCTGTCCTGGCTGTGCCCATGGTACGAGGCCAGGCAAGGAGAGCCATGGAACCAGCTTGTCACGTACAACCAGCATGGCCGTTCAGGAAGGCCTCACGGGTTCCTGTCGGGATGAAGTTTCACCTGACAGTACTTGATCACGTGAGCGGTAGGGCTTCCTCGAGCCAAGGCACTGCCTGGTGCGCCCAGCCTCAGAACCGGAGGTCTTTGATGTGTTGTATGACCAGCGCATCCCTGCACTGCCTTCTAAAATTTAATGTGGGGCTCCGTTCTTTTAACGGGATAAACAGTGATGACAGTTGGGAAGTGGGCAGCTGCTGATGCGATCAGCTTCATTGTTGGTGCAAAAACAGAACATTGAGAGAAAACCAACTGCAGGGAGTGCATTCAGCTTCCTAGGTCACAGTGAGGATTCCTGGGTGGAGAAGACGCTCAGTCACTAACTGAAAGGTTGGTGGTTCAAGTCCACCCAGAGGCACCTTGGAAGAAAGGCCTGGTGATCTACTTCTGAAAAACCAGCCATTGATAACCCTCTGGAGCACAGTTCTGCTCTGACATAGATGGGGTCACAGCATGCCCTGGGTCAGTGGTGATGGGACTGTGGTCAGCAGTCACCCTCGCACCAGCCTCGGGGTCTCCAGGTGCAGCCCTGACACCTCCTGCCTCTAGCGCATTTGCCCTGCAGCTCCTGGCCTGGCACAGCCCGGCCCTCACCTCAGAGTTTGTGGTATTGCTCCCGGCGCTGGTTGACGCCGGCACCGCCGTGGAGATGCTCCACGCCCTGCTGGACCTACCGTGTCTGACTGCAGCCCTGGACCTGCAGCTCAGGTAAGCCAGAGCGGCCCCCCACCACTCCCATGGCTCCGAGCCCCCAGCGTGGTGCGTCTTCTCAGCTCCTGGCATCCTGTCCTAGCCCCTCTTCTGATGCAGGTGGCAACACTGTGGCCATGTCGCCCACTGAAGGCAGTGGGTATGTGTTGTCATGCCCTGGGGTAGGGCCTTCTGTAGTCTCCAGCCCTCGTGCAGCTGCAGGGCCCCCACCCTCTCCTGGTGGGCTCAGGGCACCCCCCATGCCCTGCTGTATGGCCATCGTCACTGCTCCTGTCTCTCCTGCAGAGTGGGCAGTGGGGCAGGGACCGAACCCAAACCCGGAGCCACCATCCAATCCTGTTCTCTGAGCCATGTCTTCACCCTCAGGTCATCACCAGCAGCGTCGTCAGAGCGACCACTCTGGGACATCTCCCTGCGGCCCACCAGCTGCCTAGAGGGCTTCCGGGACCCTCAGTTCCAGGGTCTCTTTCAGTACCTGCTGCGCACCAAGGCGGGCGGCATCACCAAGAGGTGGGGGCAGTGGGCCGGGGATGTGAGCCCTGGGTGTTTCTGTAAATCTGTGTGTGAGTGCTGGTGTTTGTGTATGTTTGTGTGAATCTCTTGAGTGTGGTTTTGTGTGTGTGTGTGAGGCTGTGCCTGCTGAGGGGACAGCAGGCCTGTGTCCCTCATGTGTTCTGAGTCGAGGATGTGGCTGTCGTCACTATCATCATCCTCACCACCACGCAACTGCGTTTGCTCGCCCCTCCCGAGTGTTTGCCAGGCACCTTGTGCTCAGCCCCTTCTACCCCTGCTGTCACCTAATAGCATCCCCGGGAGGGGCCGTGGACAGACGGACGCTGGGACGGGCACGCTCCCAGGGGAAGGCAGGGCAGGGACACAGACCCTCGAGCCCAGACCCTCGCACTGAGCCTACGGCCTGTGTCCCTAGAGCATGGGTGTGGAGTCCCTCCCAAGCCTTGGCCCTGCTGCCGACTCCACTGTCCCAGGCACGTCCCATGTCCCCCCTCACTTAAGAGGAGCACATGTGGTGTGTGTCTCAGGAGCAGGGTCGCCCAGGGAGGAGCGAGCAGGGTTGTGAGCAGGTTCTGTGGACCAGAAAGTGCCAGGCAGATGCACAGTGGGAACAGGCGAAGGGCGTCTCAGGATGTGGTTCTTGCTGTGGCCTGTCCGTCCCCTTCCTCCCACAGCACCAGCCTCAGCGCATGGTGCGGGTGGACGCAGGGCGGGCGGGGGGGCAGGCACTCAGTGGCTGTGGTGTGTCCCCCAGGCTGGCTCCGCTCCACCGCCTGCTGCAGCCCATGGCTAGCTGCGCCCGCGTGGTCCAGTGCGCCGAGGCTGTGCCCACTCTGCTTCAGGTGTTCTTTGCAGCTGTGACCCAGGTGAGCCTGAACCAGGCCCTGTGGCCCTTCCAGCCCCATGTGCCAGCACACAGCTGAGGTGCAGAGGTCAGCCAAGGGTGGGACAGGGCTGTGCTTGACCCTCTGCCAGGCTCTAGCAGCCTCCCTGTCCAGTGGGGGATACCTGCCACGACCCTGGCCCCTGCCTGCTCCAAGGATCGGATGAGATTCACCACAAAGGGGGCTGCAGACCCCCAGCCCCAGCCAGGTCCTCCTCTTCTGCCACCCCACCCCTCCCAGAGCAGGGTCATCCCCCCAGACCTCCCACTACCCACTGCCCACCTCCATCTGTGGCCAAAGTGAAGGCTTCCGTCATCTCAGCTGCATGGGGGTCGCCTGGGAGTGTGCATACCTTGGTGCTCGGGCGCGGGCAGGTGACCAGGCCCTCACCACCTCGGCCCCTGCAGTAGGGCCCCTTGCAAGAGCAAGTGCCACACCCGCCCACGGAGACCTCCTCATCTCCCAGCCAGCCCCCACCTCCTCTCTTCTTCTGGATGGATCTGCACTGCCAAGCGTGGTGGGACGGGCTCTGACAGGCTCCCGCCCTCGGTCTGCAGGTGGCTGACGGGGCCCTGACTGCCCAGTTAGCGCTGGTGCTCCTGGAGAGAAGCAACTTCCTGTTCCAGGTGCCACAGTACGAGGCCCAGGTGCACAGGTGAGTCCTGCCTCCGCTCAGCCCCATGCCTTCCACACATGCCCCCCCGCCCCCATGCATGCATGGACACCTCAGCGGGCAGCCTACCAAACCCAGACTTCCAGCTCCCTCCTTGGTCTCTCCAGCCCTCCTCCTAGGTGGGGACCACCAGCATCACTCCGTAAAGTCCAGTTGTCCCTATAGGCTGCCCTTGAGACCCCAGATGGTGCTACCCCCACTTTCATCCCCAGGCTGCCTCCCGGGTCGCTGCACAACCCCCTCCATTCCCATTCCTGAATGTTCGGCCATCCTCTTCTCTCCCAAACCTGCCCCCTTCAGCACTAGCTCAGGCTCCTTCTCCACAGAATTTTGCAGGCTGTCCTATACCCAGGGCCATTTGTCTGTCAAAGGCCTGATACACTCAGCTTGTCCCTGTCATTCTTGAGCCCAGATCAAGTATGGCTGGAGCCGGCTGCCATGTCCCTGGAGGCTCCCAATGAGATGACCAGTTAAGGGACAGATCATCTCGTAGTTCCAACTTGAGAGAGGTTTTCCATTTACTGTCCGGCTCTCAGCAGGCTGATGAGCTCACTGTGCCGTCTGTGGGTGCACTGAGCCCGTGCTGGCTCTCGGCAGGGTGACAAGCTCACTGTGCCGTCTGTGGGTGCACTGAGCCCACGCTGGCTCTCTGCAGGGTGATGAGCTCGCAGTTCCTGGCACTATGCAGACTGCGCCCAGCTTTGGTGGTGGAGCTGGCCAGAGACTTGCTGGACTTCGTGGGGAGCGTGAGTGGCATCCACAGCCGAGAGCGTATGTTCACAGCCGTGGTAAGGTGCTGCCCAGTCCCCATCCCAACCCCAGCCTCTCTGACCAAGCAGGACACAGCTGAGGCTTTGTCCCCGTCTAGGTGTGGGCAGTGGGCGAGTACCTGGCAGTGTCATACGACAGGCGCTGCACCGTGGAGCAGGTCAACAGGTTCTTTGAGTCCCTGGAGGCCCTGCTCTTTGAGGTCACCCAGTCCCGGCGCTCCGCCACCCTTCCCCCATGTCCACCGCAAGTCGTCACCGTCCTCATGACCACACTGACCAAACTGGCGTCTCGTAGCCAAGACCTGATCCCCAGGTAGCTGAGGGAAAGCTGCGGGGCATGGGGGGCAGGGGGGACGATGGCTTCAGAGGCCGTTGCTGTCCGAGGGGCCTGATATCAGCGGGTCCAGCGGGGGTCTTTGGCTGGACACAGGCTGCAAGGACTGGGCTTGAGGTGGGGTGAGGGGCACCGCCCGAGCCCACCTTGTCGAGCGTAGAGAGCTGCACTAGCTGGGAGCTCTGGGGGGCATCCTCTCCACATCGGGGCGTTTGCTGACTGGCCACGGCCCACAGGGTCTCTCTGCTCCTGTCCAAGCTGAGGGCCCTGCCCCAGGGTCCAGCCATGGGCTCTGCGCCCAGGGATGAGGACACGGACACCATCCGCACAAGGGCCACGGAGCTGACCAACCTGCTCAAGATGCCCAGCGTGGCCCAGTTCGTGTTCACACCAGGCACGGAGGCCTCCACCCCGCGTTTCCACCGCGACGCCAACACTGCCCTGCCCCTTGCTCTGCACACGGTCAGCCGGCTGATGGACAGGGAGGCCGGCCTCCCAGTGGCGTGAGGGTCGGGCTGCAGACGGGAAGTCAGGAAACTTGGGAGTAGGCTGGGCCCATAGTGCTGTCCATCCAAGACATGGTCACTTCCTGACCTCCCGGGGAGATGTCTCCTTCTAGAGCCTTCATCTGGGGCCTGTGCTGAGCAGTGCAGTTAGAAAGGTGGAACTACACTGACTGAGGCCTCAGCCCTTGTTCCAGACGGGATGGGCTCTTGGTGTGTCCTTGTTTCTGGGCAGGAGAGACCACAGTGGAGATAAAGCTTCCATTTAAGAGTGTATGTGTCAGCAACTCGGCTGTCCCTCCCCTACCCAGGGGGCCAGAGGGGCCAGGCCGCAGCCCTCAAGCCAGGACAGCACTCTGGGTGGGGAGCACGGGCATGGGTGAGGGAGCCCGCCAGGCAGACGTGTGGGCTGCTCGCAGCACCCAAGTCCTAGTCCATTCCACCTTCGTCTCCTGCCAATAACTTGGGACTGTGGGAGGGCTGGGCCAAGCTGCCCTGGAGGTTCAGGGCAAGGCCCTGTCTGCCCTGCAGGCTCTGAGCAGCACAGGAGCAGGGATGGGGATGGCTTCCCCCTACCCGGGGCCTGTCACCTGCCACCAGGAGCTGTGTTTAGAGCAAATTCTGGTTCACTTTGGTGCTATCTGAAGGGAAACTCAAGTAGGTAGGAGATGGACATGCCACCCTGAGCCCTAGTGGGCCCACCCACCATTTCCTGCAGGTCAGGGAGCGAGCAGGCAGGTCTGGGTTTTAACCAGTATGGCTCCTAGAACGGCAGCTTGCATCCAGCTCTGCCTGGGGACAGTGAGTGACCCAGCTACCAGGGGGCCCTGAAGTTCCGCAGACCATGCGTTCTAGTTCCTATGACCCCAGGCTGGTCACCCCTGTCCTGTTCCCAGGCTCTAGCCACCCCGCATTGCCCTGCCCCTAGCTCTCGTCACCCCATCTCACACTTTGCTTCTCTGATGCCCTAAAGGAGGCTGATGGGTCCAGGCACTGGCAAGTGACCTATCACCTCTCAGGCCGGGGAACTCCTTGCCTGCCCACCCCCTCCTCAGGAGGTTCTGAGGACCCAATGGGCACAACAGTCGGACGGCAGAGAGGCAGAGGTAGATTCGGTTAAAGGAACTCCACCCATGAAAATCAGCCATGCGCCCACCTGGGTGTCGCTGTGCGGCCCCCCTCACAGGTGTGATCGGCCATGGCCCACACTGCCTGCAGGCACCACACTCCAAGAATAGGAAAGATAGTTTATTGAATCTCTGCGCTCCATAAACTCTGTAAACATAAAGGCTCTGTAACAAACCCCACAGGTCAGTGTTGTCTGTCATATAAATAAAACACATGCTAAGGGCACGTTCGCAACCAGAGGAGGAAAGCCGCCCCTCCAAGGTGATGGCACCTACGTGGGAACTTGACTGGGTCGATTAGGAAGCAGCGGCTTACAGGCCAGCAGGGCAGACCACTGGACAGGACCCAGGGGCCACGCTAGGAGGGGGGTGCGCGGAAGTGGACTTTCCTCGCCGTCTCTACGTCAGACTTGGCGACCAGAAACCGCATCCTCTTGCCCCCATGTCGGATCAGGTCCACGGCTCTGAAACACACAGGCCAGGAGGACGGCTGGGACACGCTACTGAGGCGCCTGAATCCTGCTCTGCTCCCCTCACCCCCAACCGTGCAGCTGCCACACATGGGTGTGGCTCAGCTGGCCCAGAGCCTGAGTGAGGCGAGCGTCCATGTCCCCCTCCTACAGTGGCATCACCAGTCTGTGGTGAACGCGCTTAAATCCAACAAACCAACACCCTGTGCTGTGAAGGGACTTCACGGCACAAGGACCCAGGCAGAGCCGCTCCTGGCCACCCCCTACCCCCCCGCAGAGCAGGGTGTCAGGACACTGCAGGGGGCGAAGGGTGGGGCTGCGGGCCCGGGGGTTGGACTCATCTAGACTCAGGCCAGCCTGCTCCAAGGTGTGTTGGTGGTGAAGATGGGTGGGGCGGTACCCAGCCTGAGGATTGTCCTTAGGTCCACCCTAACCAGCAGGTGTGGGCGGGGGGAGCACAGGCAGGTACCTCAGGTAGCTGACGCCCACCAGGCTGGTGCCATCTACATCCAGGATGCGATCCCCCAGGGAGAGCCGCCCATCGCAGGCCGCGGGGCTGCCCGGGAGCAGGGTCTGGATGTAGAGACCAGGGGTACCAAGGGGTGTATGCTGGGGACAGAGCAGAGAACTTGGCTGCAGATGGCTGAAGGACACACAGTTCCCCCAGCCCCCTTCGGCCCCCATTATCGATTCCCAATGTCTCCAGGAAGCACTAGTGGTTCCTGAGGCCCACGGCAGACGAGGGTCCAAGCCCATGAAAGCAGGGCAGGGAAAGGTTGGCTGCAGGAGGGTCTTCCCCAACAGCTCAAGTTCTGCAGACATGCCCCCAGGCCCTCCTGGGCACACCCCTCTCTCTCCCCTCAGCCTTGTCCATGACCTCAGTGCTGTGAGCTTGCCTTCTGTGACCAGGGCTCCTCTGTCCAGCGGGCACTCACCATGCCATCCACCAGGCCCATGCCCAGCCCGGAAGGGCCCCTCTCTAGCTCCACGACCACCACTGAAGAGCAGAGGGAGGAGCAAGGGGCATCGGGGCTGGAGCTGCAGCTGGAGGGCACATCCGCAGGGGCCTCAGGGTCTCCTGTGTGGCAAAAGGAGGGCAGTGGGGCACACAAATCATGCAGGCCTCGGGGGCAGCCCATCCCCATGTCAGAGAGCAAGACAAGGCAGCCGCAGGGGACCGCTAGGCAGTCGGAGTCTGCACGGGCTCGCCCCTCTGAGCCCCTCCTTGCTCCCCATCTGACCCACCGTGCCCCGCCCTGGCCCACCCTGTCACCCAACCCCCAACACTTAAGGTCCTTGTGCGTCCCCTGTGGGGAGGGACTTTGGGCACGTTGCAAACTCTCTCATTGCCCCTGGCTCGGCTGCTGCTCCTTCCTGTCTGGATCCTGGGCACCCGTAGTGGCCAGCACTGAAACCAAGGCTGGCTGGGGGCACACATCTCTGCTGAATTAACTGGCAGTAGGGGACCCAAAAACGACAGATGTCTGAGAGCCTCGCTGGGCCTGGGGCACATGACCACATTTGGGGTTGGGATGCGGTGCACTCGCAGGCAGCCTTACCTTCCAGGGCCACACCCTGGGATCCACGGAGGCCAGTCCTCTTCCCCTCGGGGGACGCCTTCCCGCAGGGCCAGTTCTGGGTGGGGGGCTCGAGGCTGAGCGGGGTGCTGGGCGGCGTCAGCAGGCACGAGGCGTCTGCAGGTGGCTGGCCCCCGCGGCTGGGCTGCCTGCCTGGGACCCCCCGGGCCTCCCGGACACCCCTGCTCCTATTGCCACACAGTCTAGAGTCCAGGAAGGCCCTGGGGTCTCTGGGGGCTGGGGGACTGTGCCGGCCCTCTGGGGGGCCCTCGGGGATGGTATGGTATGGACCCTGGGGGAGAAAGAGCAATAGGCTGAGGCACAATGCCCGGGTGACAAGCACCCACTAGGTGGATGGACAAATGGACGGACCCAGAGAGAGGGTGCCATGGCCACAGGCGGACACATCCAGAAGGGAGGAGTTGCTGGACAATAAGCAGGGCTCTGGGCAGTTGGGGCCCAGCGACCTCACCCACAGCAGGGGGAGAGGCCCAAAGACAAGTGGCTGGAGGCCTGCGAGCCTCCAGAGAAGACCAAGGGCAGAGGGCCCCGCAGGCCAACCGCCATCACAGGTCTCAGATTGGTCTGCCCGCTCGCTGCAGGCCGCCTGGCTATGCAAACCGCCAGCGCTCTGCATTAGCAGCAGGCTCAGAAAGCTCAGCTCTGGGTCTCTGACAAGTAACCACAGGAAGATGGCTGTTCACATTTGCACACAGGGAACCTCCCACCTCTTCTGGCAGCTGATTGGTCAAAGGAGCTAGCGCCTGACCCACGCCAGCCAATCAGAATCTTTCCTGGGACTTCAGCCATTTCTCTTTTCTAAACAGTGAAGCTGCCATGGGTGGGCCCATCCTCCTCTCTGGTCACTGAGCAGCAGAGGTGAAGGCCCTGCAGCTCGGGGCACAGTTCCAGCCCCGGGACAGTGCAGCCCCGGAAGGAGAAGGCTGGGGCCGAGAAGCAAAGACCAGAGGGAATGGGCCTCCAGGTGCCTCCCTCCCCGCCCCGCCCTGCTCTCCTGGTTTGTAGAGGGGTCAGCACAGACGCCTCTCTTGTTTCCACTTATGTCTTTGTGAGTGGGGGTTTGTCTTTTCCAGATACAAGGTCCCCAGACCTCTACTGAGAAATGCAGCCAGTCAGTGCAGTCGACTCATATCGGTCCTGACCCATGACATGGATTCAATGCACCACTCCCCAGGGACCCCTCTCCAGAGCCAAGCAGGCCACCAAGGCTTCCTGCCCAGTGCCCCCCGCCCATACCTCCAGACACTCCGGGGGTGGGGGCCCACTGCCGGGGCCAGTTCTGCTCTGCAAGCCCCACAGGAAGTGGCGGACATAGAGAAGGTGCTGGTAGATGCTGTCGTCCAGCCGGTCCACCTCCAGGTCTACCTGGAAGCCGTCACTGGGCAGAACGATGGGCGGGGGGTTCTCGTACGACTCCAGGACATCCTCTGTGGGGGATTGGGGGCTATGCTGGCCTGGGCGGGGGCTGCCTTCCCTCGCCTGGGTTCCCACACCTCCACGCCTACACTGAGACCCTGGGGTGCTGTGGCAGGGGACAGGAAAGGCTAGCGGCCAGGCTCCAGGATCCCTGACCCCTAAGATGCCACAGGAGGGTGGATCCAGGCCCATGACCAGCCCAAGCCAGGCTCTCGCCACTTGAGCCCTGATAACCACCCAGGACATCGCCTTCCCTCCCTCTTGAATCCTGCCCCTCTGACAGGGATGTTCCTGCCCAAGATCTACACCTGACTGAGCTGGGGTGGGAGCTGCCCTTGTACGCCCACAGACCCGTGCCACCCACCCCACAGAGCTTGTCGCCAGGACTGTCACTGCCTGTCTGTGTTTGGTCTCTGCCTGCTGAACATGAATGCTTCCAGATGCAGGGATGGTCTCCCTGATCACCGCTCCTGGCTCCAGCTTCGAGCTGGCCAGGTGGCAGGCCTGGGATGGATCCCTAAGGAGAAAGGGCTCCAAGGTGTCAGGTGGAACACCCATTCATGGACGATCTGTGTCCAAGAAACCCACTGGGCCCTAGGACCCAGGGCATGGGAACAAGATACTAGAAGTCCTATTAATATCTATATCTACCTGTTATTTCTATTTCTTGTTTCCATGTTATAATGCACATAGTGCTAACGAAGTAGAACACATGTATAATTTATATACATGTATATGTATGTATATATCCACATATGTGTGTGCCGGCCCGACGTGGAGACCACATTTTCCTTGGCCCCTGGGGAGAGGCCGGGCAGGCATGTCCTCATGCTCTGTGAGAGGGAAGGAGACCTGACCCGAGCCTGGACTTTGGAACTTGGTCACAGCTGTGGACACCCTCGGGGCATAGAGTCCTCAGGTCCCCATGGGTGGGGAGGGCAGGGGCTCCAGGAAGAAGGCGGCCCAGTGGGCCAGGACTACTGCTCTGTGGCTCCTGGGGATGTCCTATGGGAGGGGCTCCTTCACCCTCACTTCCAGAGGAAGGTGGAGGGCTGGCTTGGTGGCTTACTCCCCCGTGTCCTGCCCCACCCACGGGAGGCTCACCGGACTTGCAGGCGTCAGGGCCATCCAGGGTACTGGGCTCCCAGGAGCTCGTGGGGCCCATAGCCGAGGCCAGCTGGTACTGGGTCAGCAGCCGGTGGAGCTGTGCAGGGCGCAAAGCGGGAAAGGTGGCCCGGAGGGTGGCCCAGGTCATCTGGGAGACAAGAAACAGCATAGTCAGACCTCCAGGCGGCCCCTTTAAGGACTCATGCGATTGGGGCTGGGCCACCCCGGTCCAGGATCATCTCCCCGTCACAAGGTCCCCAATCTTAATCACATCCACAGGGTCCCCTGTGCCCTGTGAGGTCCCATTTTCACAGGTCCCTCTCTGGGGCCATTGTTCCGGCCACTGCAGTTGGAGGTCACCACAGAAGCCACTTTACAAGTCATTCCGGCAACTGAAGGGTTTCCTGGCCCTGAAGTCAGCCAACCGCACCCCAGCTCCAATGCTACAGCTGACCAACCCTCACCCCCTGCACCCCCACCCCACCTCTCTGCCTCTCCCACCTGGACGACCCTCCCCCCACCTTCCTACCTGGATGACTCCTCCCACCACTCCCTGCCCCTCCTACCTGGACAAGCTGGGCGCTGGGCGTGGCCAGCAGGTTGAGGGTGCAGGAAAGCTTCCGGAAGAACTGCTCGCCCGCAGCCCCGAGGCCAGCACCCCTCACCCACTCCAGGAGCTGCTGCAGGCGGGCGAAGGCCTGCACAGCCTTGGGCCAGTGGAAGCAGCTCAGCGAGGGACCTGTGGGACATGTCCACCAGCCTTCTTCAGGGAGCATGTGCCTCCCCTCCGGTCTGAGCATTCTCTCCCCTGCATCCCCACGACCCCTGTGTCCTACACAGTCCTCTTCTGTCCTCGCTAAGCTGGGTACTCCCTGAGGCTAGGGCCTGCTGGGCAGGAACAGGCTGGGTGGGGTCAGAGGTCAGGGATGCGGTGAGGGGATGAGGTGGGGTCAAGGGTCAGGGCTGCAGGGTCGACCTGACCTGGGCTCATGGTAACCCTGCAACAGCCAGGCACCTCTTCAAGCCTGTCCCTCTTTATTGTGGGGGCGGGCCAGCCCTGAGGTGCCAATGTCGCCACACGCACACACGTACACATGCGCTCCAGCCGCCCTCACCCTTGTCCAGGAGCTGGTTGAAGAGCAGCGTGCTGGAGAAGAAGAGGAGGTAGGCCAGCATCTGGGCAGCAATCTCCGGGTGCACTTGGAACTGCCGCAGGAGGTCCAGGGTGACCTGGTAGATGGCCACGACGCGGCGCAGCTCCTCGGGGAGACACGGGCCGGGGCTCCAGCTCTCCCGGCGCTCCACTGGGAACGGGGGGCACTCCAGGAGGGCCGGTAGGCACGTGTACAGGGACTGAGGACGGGGCCACAAACTAGCTTCTCGTTCCCACCCCTCGGATCCCCACCCCTCGAGTGCCTGCCCCAGCTCAGCTCATCCCCACCCCACGCATCCCTGCCCCTGCCCAGCCTGTCCCTGGACGCACACGGCGGGGACGCGCACGGCAGGGACGCACACAGCTGCGTACTTTGGAGATGTAGTACACGCACTGCTGGAAGGCGTACAGGATCACCTCCTCCAGCACCGCCATGGCCTCCTCGCTGGCTGTCAGGGCACATGAGAGCAGGGACTCCTTGGAGCCTGCAGGAGACAGCAACACACACGGTGCTCCTACCATGCCAAGTGACCCCAGGGACACCCAGTGACCCCGGGGTGCCCAGTGACCATGAGAATGGCCCCCAGAACAGCCTCATCACCTCATCAGTGCTGTGCCCAACACACCCATTTGGGTTTGGGAAATGGGTGAGCCAGTTCCGGAACAGAGCAGAGCAGAGCCCATCCCTGCGGCCACACCACACGCGCATGAGGTGAGGGCTCCAGATGCCGCATGTCCTAAAGCTTCCAGGCAAGCCCAAGGGCACGTGCGTGAGGAGCTCGCTGACCAATGTCTCCATACACATTTATATTAGCACCAACCACCTAGCGAGTGTGGGCTCTACCCTAACCCCACAGTCCCATCTGACCCTGGACACTCAGCACAGGCACACCACACAGAGGCCTAAGGAGACCGTCAACCCCAATTGCACTTCTCCAAGAACAACACCCAAACCAGCTACACGCCCCCCAGAGCACCCTCAGGACTGCAGGGAAGACACTGTGGCTGCTCACAACGTAGAGATGGCACCGGACAGAGACGGCTGGGCCAGAGAGGGCAGCGTAGGGCAGAGAGGCCACGGGGCAGAGAGAGCAGCGTAGGGCAGAGAGGCCATGGGGCAGAGAGGGCAGCGTAGGGCAGAGAGGCCACAGGGCAGAGAGGGCAGCATAGCGCACAGAGACCACGGGGCAGAGAGGCCACGGGGCAGAGAGGGCAGCGTAGGGCAGAGAGGCCACGGGGCAGAGAG